TTGTGCAAGTCTTAGTGAGTCTTAACAAGATTTTGATAACATCATTTTTAATGGGGACCACCAAAAATGATGTTACATCTAAGTTTCTTGGGGCTAAACTTGTTCTACGGAGTAAGATTTCCCTACCTTATATTATCTTTATTTAATTATCCTAGGGATTAATTCAATATAATCTCATATTTTATGACTTTAGTTTTTCTTCATATAAATCCCAGTGCGTTTTTTGTGTGACTGGCAACAGAAAAATCTTATTGGAAGACTCACCCACTGAAAGTCAAGGTGTGCAACCCGGGTTGGATCCGAATGTGGTCAGAGCTAAACTTTGGTAAACTCGGTGAGGCAATCTAAAAATATATATATTTGTTACAATAAGTCATAATAAAGGAGCCTATAAAGTATGCCAAAATCCTTATGTTTCAACTGGGTCTGTTCATATTTACTGAAGTGAACTGAATTGAAGTGAGCTGAACTGATGGCCTGTTCTCTTACGTTGAAATTCAGTTCAGTTCAGTTCAGCTCCGCTCAATTCAGTTTAGTTCAGTTCAGCTCAGTTCAGTTCAGCTCCTAATTTTCTTCTCTTATAAAATATTCAGTTCAGTTCAGTTCAGCTCATTTCAGTTCAGTTCAGTTCGGTTCAGTCAATGAGAACAAACCCTGAATTGAACTGAACTGAACTGAAATCAAATGAATATTTTATAAGAGAGGGAAATTAGAAGCTGAACTGAACTAAACTAAACTGAACTGAAATAAGACCGAAGTAAACAAATTGTACTGAGCTGATTGGAGCTAAATTGAACTGAACTGAAATAGAACGGAAGTGAACATGCCCTAAATGATAGCAAAGGAAGCATACATCATTCTTTTTCGAAATTCCAACTTAATTTTCGTTTTGTATGTAGTATTTTAGAAAGTAACTTTAATATATTACAAACCAATCCTTAAACAAGTGTTTAACAACACATGAATGAAGTTCATTACAAGGATTCCGTTTATGGTCTGTTCACTTCAGATTAATTTCAGTTAAGCTCCAATAATTCAGTTTAACTCCAATCAGTTCAATTCAATTAAGCTTCTAATTTTCTTCTCTTATAAAATATTCATTTCAACTCAGTTCAGTTCAGTTCAATTAAGCTCAGTTTAATTTAACTTATTTCAATCCAGTAAATGTGAACAGTCCCTTAGATTCGATAATTTTAAATTCAAGACAAAAATGACACCATTATCACAAATAAATAAGAGGGTGTTAACTAAATAAAAAGGAATTATACAAATACACATAAGTGGTATCAAACTACTCCATACTTGGTATACATTAATTTTGTCAAGTGGAGGAGAAATTTAAAAAGTTAGTGTGAATATATATATAGCACCGTCTTGTTCGTCCATCGATCAGTCTCTTCAAACAAACACCCTCTTCTTTCTTTCCTTCCCCATTCCAAGTACCAATTTTATTCTTCCAAAGTCAAACTCAAAATAATACTTACACATTAAACAGGAGTTTTCATTCATTATTCTCTCCGAAATTTAACCAATTAACCAAAACTCTGTTTTTCTTTCTAAACTCCAACTATTAATATCAGCCGTCTTTTTAACTTTCACTATTCTTTTTTCTTTCCTCTAAACTTCTTAAGGTATTTTCTTCTTCTACATTTTTGCCCCCTCATTTTTAGTCTAAACATTATTTAAGAAACAAAATACAATTTTATTTTTTTTAATTTTCTGATAAAATTCCTAATTTAGAAATATTTGCGCAGAATTAGAAGACGAATTTGATTGTCGATCAAGCAAAGTTAGAGCAAATCAGGTGTGAATTTCTCACTCTCTCTCTTTCTTACTCCATTAACTGTGAATTAAAATTTTATTTTATTTTACTTATTTATTTATTCGTTTATTTATATATTAATAAGGTAGATTATTTATGTATTGTTAATAGATCTTATTCTGAAAATTTCCTCTCTTTTTCACCCCTTTTTATGAAAGAATCATTCAGTCTCACCTTTTTCTGCATCAATTAATAAGTATATTATCCTACTTTTATTTTTAGTTTTTATAGTATATTATTCTAAAATTGGATTAAGTTATGTTAGATTTTTTTCAATCGAACAAGGGCTTGTACGTTAATGTGAAACCAAAGAGGGTGTTTTCCGGGTTTTGCTGTCAGCAAAATCGACAGTAATACCAAACGAGTCCTATATTTTTCTTTTTCTTGCTACCGGTTTTTGAGATAATCATTTTTAATCATTTGAGGTTGAATTATGAGTATGACTAATCGTTTTTCAAAGTAAATATATGAGTTAATTAAAAGCATAATCAACGCATTCACATAAAAACAAACAGGGCATTCACTTTGTAATATTTAGTAAAAATAAATAATTTCAGTTCAGTAAAAATCAGTAATTAAAGAAGAATTATAATTGAAAATTAGTAAAAATAGCTTCGGTTCATAAAAATTAATTTCAGATCGGTTAATATAATTTAAGTTTAGTAAAATAATTGCAATTTTGTAAAAATAATTCAGTTTAGCAAAAATAAGATGAAGTGAACATGACCTAACTGGCTAACTGTGTAAGTACACGTTAACTTAGGCTGACCACGTACGGAGTATTTTATTTATTGATTGAAAATGATTTTTAACTATTGAAATCATTCTTAAAAAATTGAAATTAATTAAAACTTTAATGATCATGATTTATTAAAATTGACATTAGTATGTCACTCTTAGAGTGGCAATGGCTCCAAACGACAAAAGTAAAGATTATCCATTTGACGCGACAAATAATTACTGTGCACAATTACTTGTATACACTATGCTTATACGTTGTATTAGTAATGAATCAATGACAAACAATTATAGACGATGCTTTTATTAAGACTGGCAAACAATTAATGTGCAATGTTTTGTTGTTAGATTTCGTGTGATATAATGATTTTAAAAGATGAAATGAAGCACAAAGAAATTAAAACAAAAAAAGAAGAAAAAAGGAGGATGTATTTATTCTCCGAGGTACCAATGATCAAAGGCGTATGAATGTGACTACCAGTGGCGGATCCAGGAATTTCCGATTGGTGGGTCACTAAATCTCTATCATCTTTATGAAATTGACTCATTTTTCTCCTCTTTCCTGGATCTTGTGGAAGATTAGCAAATTCATGTTCACTTAATCTTTCTCCAAAGATTGGGGCATTAGGAAAACATTGGCCTTGTTCATTTTGAGGGGAATTTTGAGTTGAATAATGAGATGGAGATGAAAGTTGCTCACTTTCTTGAGGTGGAGTTATAGTTTGTTCATTTTGTGTTGGATGTGGAAGAGAAGTTGGAGTAGGATTCTTTTTAGCAAAGAAGCTAGTAATGTTTTGCATTTCATTTGGAGTACGTTTTCTCTTCATTCTGAAATTTGAATAAATATTGAACTAAATCAAGCAATATTCCCCAGAAAAATTATTTGAATAAATATTCAACTAAATGGTCTAAATCAAGCAATTTCACATAATGACATAATCACATAAACATATTACACAAAACACAATTACACAAAACAGATTTCACATAAGTAATAAGTTCAAGAGATTTCAATTACACAAAACACAATTACACAAAACACAATTACGCAAAACAGATTTCACAAAAAGAATCAATTGATGATTAGTTGATTACCTACCTTGCTAGGCGGAGGCGAGCAGCGGAGCAGGCGAAGCAGCACTGCAATAGGGCCACGGGCAGTCGGCCAGCACCGCAGCACGGCAGTCGGCAATACTCAAGTCTCAGGCACCGAGGCACGCACTCAGCAAGACAGCGATTCGCCAATTCAGCAGCACAGCCAACTACAAATTAACAAATCAACCAAAGTTTAAACCAAAATTTAATAAAATTAACTAATTAGACTGAATTAATTTGAAGATTAGAAATTAAAAATAAAAATTAGAAATCAACCTACTAGCGAGTAGTGATTTCGAAATGCGATTATGCGACTATGCGAGAAGCCACGAAGAGGACGGAGTCCACGACCACCGACGTCCGACCACCAGGCGAAGAGAACGGTGGCTGCCTGGTTGGGACGAAGCGAAGAGGCGAACTGAAGAATGGAGATGAGGCGAAGTCGCGAAGAGAAGAAGGCTAGGGCTTGAAGTCTTGAACTGAATTCGTGTTTGGTTTTTTTGGGGAAAACTGATTTTAATTTTTTTTTTTTTTAAAATAACTTAAAAAAAAATTTTGGGCTTGGTGAGTCACTTGACCCACCAGGTCTAAGCCCAAGTCCGCCACTGGTGACTACACGTTTGAATTATGTGTTTTATACTGTACTGCATAGTCTTCTGAATTCTTCACCAAAAAAGTCTTCTGAATTAATATGACTTTTAACTAGGGGTGGCAATTCGGGTCAGCAGGTCGGGTTCGGGTCAGATTTCGGGTTATGCTTAGAAACTATTAAAAATAGTGTAAAACTTAATATTATTACGAAATATGAAATTTGGGTCAAATCGGGTCGAATTCGGGTTGTTCGGGTTCGGTTCAGGTCGGGTTTGGTTCTCTCTCAGTAACTTCGGGTCGGGTTCGGGTCGAGTTTTCGTGTCGGGTCAGGGTTTGCCAGCCCTACTTTTAACACTAACTTTTACTCCGTCCCATTTGCCTTTTTTGTGTTTAAATTTTTATTTAATTACTTTTTGACTAGTAATTCTTTATTTTTATTTTTTTAGGGAATAGTAAATCGTTACTTTGTATTTACGAATGTTACATTTAAAAAGCCAACGAAATTTTTCACTCAAAACTTGTACCAAATAGTTTAGTCAATAAAAATAACTACATCGGCCGACTTTGTAATTGTAGTACCACGAGTCTACGAGTATTACCTAAATAAGTAATAGGAGTAGTACTCAATACTCAATAGTACTCCGTAATTAGTTATTGTCCTTTTGATGGAGTACTATATGGGATTATTGACCTTTTGGACTTCAAATACCCATCTTTGTCCCTATTTGATTATTTATACCTAAAAGGAAAAAAAACAATTTTGTGAGTATCTATCTACAGTGCCGGGGCTAAAATTGCAAAAAAATTTTGGGGCCCTGTTTAACTTTTTAAAATGGGGCCTTATAGTTCATAAATTTAATACCTAAGTTTTATTTGATAAAAAATTCATTACATTAGAAAATTCATCATTTTTTTTTAAATAAAAGGGAGATGATTAAGGTTTACAAAATTAGGATCAAGAAGCACAATGTGGCCATGATCCTTGGGCCTAAAAAGGCTGCTGATCATCAGCAAACAAAACAACTTAAATAACATAACATCCAAGCTACAAATCATACTACAAAATATCAAAGTTTGATTGTTCCTAGATATCACTTAAAAAGAGTAGCTCTTCTTGTATGTTTTGTAGCAAAGTCATCGATGACATTCTCCATATCGACTTCATCTAAAAGATCATATTCAATAGCCATCAAAGCGAGTCCATTTAATCTTTCTTGTGACATTGTCGTCCTTAAGTACGATTTCAGCAACTTCAACTTTGAAAAACTCCGTTCTGCAGAAGCAACAATAATAGGAATTGTTAGTAATATCCTATATGCAATTGTTGCATTTGGGAAGCAAGTATATCGTTTTAAAAAATTCAATAAATCAATTGCTCCCATTTTCTCCTTGGGTAAAAACTCTCTAAACCATGTTAACTCAACAAATAAATCCTCTCCATCAACATCAAAAACCTCACCTTTCTTAAGAGCATTTTCAAAAGCTAAACAAGAAGATAAAAGTTTCTCATCATCCATTGAATGCAACTTATCAGAATTGAACAAAAAGCCAAAGATATTATCATACGATTCATATTGTTCAAACCTTTTTTCCAATGATGCAATAGTTTGATCCACAATGTATATAAAATATTGGATTCTAAATGATTCCTCAGGAGATAATAGTGTTTCATCACCATCTATCTCATCAAATTGTCTTTTTCTACGTATTATACGTCTTTGTGGAAATACAGGATCAATGCCAACTTCAATAGATAATTTTTTTGCAATATCTATGGCCTTTGAAAAACCATTCTCCCTATAATTTTTAAAAAAGGAAATCAACCCTTTAATCTCACCAATGGCGATATCAATCAGCATATCCTGGGATTGTAATTGTTTACTAACAAAGTTTACAGCACATAAAATTTCATACCAAATGATTGTAGCAAGCAAAAATTCAAAACTACCAAGTTCATTATTTGCTAAAGATCTAGCTTCACTTTGAAGTTTATGATCATTGTCAGCATCAGCTACTTCAGCTACTTCAAGTAAGGCTTCACGTATCTCAGGTATTTGAAATCTGATTGCTTTGATACTTTCAACACGACTTTCCCATCGAGTGGCAGATAATGATTTAAGAGTTAAACCTTTAACATTTTCTTTTAAAGTATGCCATCTCTTAGTAGAACCAACAAATATAGTATAAATGTGTTGGACTATACCAAAATATTCCCTTGCTTTAGGAGAAGCATTTGCAATGTCACACAAAACTAAATTAAGACTATGACAACCACATGGAGAATAAAAAGCTCTAGGATTCAAATCCAATAGTCTCTTTTGCACACCTTGATGTTTACCTTTCATGTTAGAACCATTATCATATCCTTGTCCCCTTATATTATCTATGTCAAGATCATGAGATATTAACACATTTTCTAACACTTTAAACAGTCCTAGACCAGTAGTATCATTAACTTGTAAGAACTCAATAAAAAATTCTTTCACTTTATAAGAATTTGAACATTTGTCAACACACCTTAAAATTAAAGTCATTTGTTCTTGATGACTAGCATCAGGTGTACAATCCAACATCACAGAAAAATATTTTGCTTCTTTTATTTTCTTCATGATAGCATTATTGATTTTAGAAGCAAGTAAGAGTATCAATTCATTCTGAATTTCATGGCTAAGATAATGATGATGAATAATCCCATTCTCAATACGACGAACATGCTCAATAATCACAGGATCAAATTCAGTCAACATTTCAATCAAACCTAAAAAATTTCCATTGCTACTTTGATATAACCTTTCATGTTTCCCACGAAATGCAAGGTTATTTTTACCAAGGAACTTCACAATAGCAATAATTCTAATAATGACACTTTTCCAGTACTCCTTTTCTTTATGAAATTGGTCTTGGGTAATTTTGTCTATTGTTTCATTATTTTTCAATCTATTTCTTAGTTCACACCAAGCACCCATGTTCAAAATGTGATCAACACTTGTTTCATGTTCTTTAAGTCTATGACTAACATGTGACCAATCATTATATCCTTCATTTACCAAATTGCCTTTTCCAATACCCTTTTTGAAAATTTTACAGCAAAAACAAAATACTTTGTCAATATCTTTAAAATAAACAAGCCAATCTCTATCACAAGTTTCACCATTAGGCAAATACCTAGTATATAAATTTGAAGTAAATCTCCTAGATACTTTGTCTTTAGGGCCTTTCACTATGGTTAAGTCTCTTTTAGGGCCATTGAGAGCCAAAATATCAATCGACTTCTGATCAAGAGCTTCCCATATCCTTGGATCATATATATCACGAGAAACAAAATCATTTTCTTCAACATTGTGAATATTATGGTCTGAATTTTCCTCCACATTTTGTTCAAAATCATTAACATTATTCAGATTCACATCTTCTTGCTCAACATTAATATTATTATCATCAACATTAACATTGTCATTTATCACATCTACATTATCATTATCAACATTACATTATCACCACCAACATTTTCATTATTTTCTTTTAACTCTGAATCAATAGGATTTTCAGTTGACTGTGGCACTATTACAAAAAACTTATCTAAAGCACCTTTTTGTGATTGAATGAATTGATCTTCCTTCTTTTTTTATTGCGTTTTTCATGCCCAGATGGATACTTTCGAAACATTTTAAACACAATTACACAAAATATTTGATAAGAGAGGAAAAATATCACCGGAAAAAGCTTGTAACAAGCCAACGATTGAATTCGACAGATCCGAGATCGCTAATTGCTATGTATAATCCAATACTCCATCAAAACCATTCATCAACCGCTGTAATCAATAAAAAAAATAAAAAAAAAACTTATGAATAATTTATACATAGTAATTGCTAAAATTTAACAAAAAAAATAAATTAAAAAGCATAATATTATCAAACAATAACAGATTTAACAGGTAAAAAAAAAAAGATTAAACACATACCGTACTCCATAGGCGTATCCATATCCAATGCCGATTCCAAAGAGGTTTGTGATAAAAAAATTTCCAATTACTAGCTATACTCACAGTACTTGCAAATAATTTTGGAATTAATATTATCTTAAAGATTTCTTTTTTATTTATAAAATTGAAAAACCTAGTAAATTGCATATATAGAAAAATTTGGGGGATTAACAACGGTTTAATAATTAATTTCATCTTAAAATTGAAGATTTAACCGTTGAAATTATGAATTAATATGGGCAAAATTATTTTGGAAGATGAAATATTTTTGGGCTAATTGAATGATTGAAGATACTAATAAAAAGTAAATTAAAAATGTTGAAAACAAGATGTTAAAATAGTTAAGTGTGAAATTAATTTTGGAAATATAGAGTGAAATTAATTGAATGATATATACGACTTGGAATTAATTGAATGATAGATTGAAATTTTTTTTGGAGAAAAATATTGGAGAAGAGGAAAGGTTTGGGCGGAGGATTCTAGAGAAGTGACTTAGTTCATTCACTTCATTGAATTTGACTGACATACAGCTATACACTACTACACTTTATTTCCCAAAAAAATAAAAAAATTGCTGGCCCCAAGGCTTGATACTAGGTCTCGTACACAAAGCATAAGTGTTATAACCAATACTCCAACTATAATCTTGTGATAGTATGTACAACTTAATTACATATATCTGAATTTTGGGGCCCCTCAAATTTGGGGCCCTGTTCCGTCGAACACCCCGCTCCGGCCCAGAACCGCCCCTGTCTATCTATCTATATATTATACTAAAAGACAAGCGCCTTAATGTGAGGATGACAAATGTCACTCTTTCATTGGCTTATCTTAAGTATAAAATATATCTATATAATTACTGTTTACATATTCAAGCATAGTTATTTTGTTAGACTTCAAACAATAAAAGCAAGTTTCTATACATGCATAAGATTTTCATGATTTCCTAACATAAATATTGATTTACTTTTTTTTATAATAAATATATAATTTCCAATACTACAAATAATACATAAAGTCTTTTCAATCTTAATTTATAGTCAAGTTAAAGAATAATAACTAATTTGAAGCAATATGATTAAAGTGGCATAATTAAGAAAACAAATGTTTCGTATTTTGAAAGGCTAATATTGGTTTTTTTTTTAAGAAAATTAAATAAAATCGGTAGAATTTAGTTTGACGTCAATTATGAAATCAATACAAACATTTTAAAAAATCAGATGTACAATAAAATATTGTGCACCTATTATAAAAGCTACCCTGTAATGAATGAAAGTTACTTATGCTTTATTGATAAAAGTTACCCAAAATAGTCTACAAATTATCCTAAATTCAATTCAAGTAATCGGATGAATACAAAAGTTTTTGACAAAGATACAAAATAGTGTAAAAATTACTTTTATCATTTGTTGTACTCCTTGACAAATACTGAATGCTGAGCCGAAATGTTGTCTTGGAAAAAAATACATAATCTTGATCATAAATTTAATTTTAATCGGCCTTTCATTTTCTATACAATGTCTTTTACAATGACCTTTTGTTTTTCTTGCATTAAAAAAAAAAAAAAAAAAAAATTGAACCAATAACCAATCTAAACAAGAAGAATAAAAGTTAAATTGAATTAGACATTTGACGGAAAAAGGATAAATATAAAATGTATTATAACTATTACTCATGTTTTAAATTGTAATATTCGTATTAACAATGCTATTACTTGAAATTTTTTTAGAAAAACAAACATTTTGATTTAAAAACCGTGCATTGCTCATGTACTATACTAGATATACAACAATCATGTGCAATAATTTATGTTGTTTTATACATAATAATACTTTTAACTATAATAGTATGTGTATATAATATAATATTTTTTATAATATAAAAAAGTATATGTATATAATATAATATTTCATATAATATAAAAAAGTATATGTATATAATATAATATTTTATAACACGTGTCTTCCATACCAAGTGTTTGGTTGTTGGTGTATTGATGATTGAGACTACACTTGGTAGGGAGGACTTGTGTTCGCTCCCCTGCAACAACAATCGGAAGGGGAGTGGAACCTAATAGCCTAGAACAAATCCTCAAATCTGGATTAGCCCAAAGGGTGAACCGGATAGAACACCCAAAACTCAATGCATATATGACAGGAATTAACTTATCCTTTATCTAATACAAAACTCCAAAGTCTAAATTTTTTTTCAAAATATAATAATAACATTTGTAAATTTTTGTTAATATGAAAGATATAAACCTATCAAAATGTATATATAGTTAAATTGTTTAATAACTTATATCGAATGCGTAGTTTTATTAAAATTATTTGCATGTAATCATTAAATGTGTTGGATGTTGTGTAGCTATGCAATGTCCAAAACTTTAGTTGACCGACTTTGATTTAGTGATTGTACGGTAAAAAGATATTGACTTCGATCTTGAAACCTAATAGTCTAATAAATTCTAAATAGAAAAATTAAAACAAAAGGAAATGAAAATAGTAAATGACTTTAAATATTGAAATAAACATAACCTTTTAAATCAATTTAGCGAATTTAAGAGACAATTTTAAGGCTTTTAGCGAATTTAAGAGACAATTTTAAGGCTTTTAAAATTAAATGGTGGAAAATATATGTAAAAAGAACAATTTTAGATATATAAATATCCATGCACTATTATAAGAGTTTTGTTAACCATTTATAATTAAGGAAGGGATAAATCTTAGTAATATATATTCCGTATATTTTATTTATAAAAAATTATCAGTATCCATACCTATATACGAAGTATTTGTGTTGTATACTATATTTAATCAGCTGTTGGTTATATATATGACTATTATATAATATATAGTTTTTGGCACAATGCTTAACTTAGGAAAATATATGTTCTGGTAAATATAAGGTTATTATTGTGTCTATAGGTTTAATGAGTGCGACGGGTAAATAAAACATATATTTATTAGATTGATTGTAGCTACTGATGCGGATTGTATGATAAGAAAATTTTAGTTTTTTCTCAACGGGAGATATAAATAAATTACTTCTTATATAGCTATGTGGAGTATTATTCAATTATTTTCAATTAATAAAATAACATTATAAAAAAATTAAAAGAAATTCAAATAACATAAAATACCGTTCAAATTACTTTCCTTTTAATTTTTTTTTATTGACCATTAGTAACCAAGTCCTTTAATAGTAAAATGAATTACCTTTGTTTTTATTTTTATTTTTCCTACAGGTTTAATAATTTGATTTATAAACCGTGCATCGCATGGGCACTATGCTAGTTATTATACTAAATTCGTTACATATTACATATTACGGAGTACGAGTATATGTTAATATAATAATACTCATACAATTATTTTATATAATAAAAAATATACTTGGTATACAAGATTGAAATGCCGCACTTAGGCTAATACATTAAGTTAATTTGCCCAAACCCGTATTCAACTGCAAACTTTCACAAGTTCTTGCTCAATATTGGAAGCATGTTGTTACTGTTCAATAAGAAAAAACAAGATCCTTGTGTCTTATCAACAACCCAGAAAATGACTTCAAATAAAGAATGTTACAAGTCTTACAATCAATTCAATAATATACAAGTAAATAAGAGAATATGAAATAAATAGTTAACAACCTCCAAAATAACGTAGACTAACTCCATCATAATAAACTATCAATTAGAGTTTACAATTTATTTGTTTTAAACAACTTGCTACATTTAAGATCAAAAACTGATACCCTGGATTATTACATGGAACTGATCGGTAATATATGTTGTAATTTATGATTCAATTTTCTTTTAATTAAATTTGTTGTTCATATTGTCATTTGTTATATATTAAAATGTTGTATTTATTCAAAAGAAAACATTAAAATTACATAACTTAGAGGTAAATTACAACATATATTACCTGTGATTTTAATGTTTCCTTTTGAATACAAAATATGAAACATTAAAATCACATAACTTGTAGTGGTAAGACAATTAGTTCTAAAATTAGAGTTTGTGAGTTCAAATCTTGTAGTGAACTATTTTTTTATTATTACCTGTGTCATAAGTATTTAGGAACAAATGGAATATTTACTTAGGTTCACTATAGTTTTTTTTTGGGTTCATTTTTCATAACAAAACGAGAAAGTTAGAGAAAAAAAAAACAATTAAGACATATACTTAATGTTTTTTTAATATACTTGTATATAGATTCCGGCATATAATATTAAAAAACCGTCCGAAAAAAAGCTTACTATTTGTGGAAATGTTCCTTTTCCATAAAATTTTGGTCCGACAATAGAATTTCCCAGTTGATCAAATCTTATCTTAAGCTCTCTATCTTATGTCTACATATGCATATTGTATTTATTTCACATTTGCACGTTATTATAGTCAGATCAACAACTCTTGTGCTTAAAACCCCACCACATTTTAACTTAATTGAGGATATTTTTACATGAATTTTGTTTTTTTAGAAATGGATTATATACACAATA